GAATGGACGTGTGCCTGTGTCGGAGAATGGACGTGCGCCTGTGTCGGAGAACGGACGTGTGCCTGTGTCGGAGAATGGACGTGTGCCTGTGTCGGAGAATGGACGTGCGCCTGTGTCGGAGAACGGACGTGTGCCTGTGTCGGAGAATGGACGTGTGCCTGTGTCGGAGAATGGACGTGCGCCTGTGTCGGAGAACGGACGTGCGCCTGTGTCGGAGAATGGACGTGTGCCTGTGTCAGAGAATGGACGTGTGCCTGTGTCGGAGAATGGACGTGCGCCTGTGTCGGAGAACGGACGTGCGCCTGTGTCGGAGAATGGACATGTGCCTGTGTCAGAGAATGGACGTGTGCCTGTGTCGGAGAATGGATGTGTGCCTGTGTCAGAGAATGGATGTGTGCCTGTCTCCTGCACCTCACCTCTGAAGTACTGCGCCAAGCCCAGCAGGAGACCCACAGCCTGGTCATTGCCCTGTGGACTGCAGGGGGCACTAAACACCAGGGACTCTGTACGGGGGGCCCGAGGGGCTCGGAGGATGCCGTAGACATTAGTGCCACGTACCATCTGGACAGGGAGCACAAGGAAATATAGACCCAATAAGAGGAATAAGCAGAAAACTATCTGTCATTGTACTGCAAAACAGATGGGAGAGAGTAACACGGTGATTAAGGCAACAGACTAAACAGCAATGAAATAGGTGGAACGTTCAGGTCCAGAAAGTAGAAATCAAGACCAAGATTTTGTTTCTACCAACCAGTTGAGTGCTCTGTAACTGTGACTCTTTATACTCAACTGGTCAGTTGAAACAAAACTTTTTGGACCTGAACTTTCCACCTCTGGAAACAAACACAGGAATTTTTACTACACAAGCTTGGGTGACCATGCATTGTAACAACTCTGCAAGATGGAGGGGAGGCGGTGCCGAAATCAGGTTACAGTCCACTCAGTTTACCCATTCCATGTTCGCTGATTCCTTAATCAGTACATAGCGCGAGTTTGTTTACTCTGGCCCATAGTAACCACAACCAGACCACGATGCCAAACAGATGTAGCCGTTCTAGGAGCCGACGCCCATTCTGGCAGAGTGCTTTCCCCACACTGAAACTACAACTCCCGTATTTTGTTTCTGTTCATCCACATCACTTTTGTCTCCATTCCTATCCCCCATAATGTCTTTGTCACATCCTCTCACTGCCATGTCATGCTGTTCTCCTTTGAGACCTAAGTAAGTGTTACACTCACGTAGCGCTCTTTGTTCTCATCTGGGAAGGGCAGAGTACGTGAGAAGCTCTGCGTGAACACCTCCAGGCCCTTAGCCTGCATCGCTTTCACCAGCCAGTCCACAGGCATCCCGCTGTGAAGCAGAGACGGGGAGAGAGCGACGGGAACGTGAGCAGCAGGGAACTCCAGCAAGGCGGAGCTCGACACTGGGCCCCAGCGGCACTCACCCTGCCTGCTTCTTGTGAGCGGAAAATTCTCTGCCCATGGCCAGGGCCCTCTCCCCGGTGGGGAAATGCTCCTCCACCATGGTGGAGCCCATGGCGTTCTCAGACATGTACGTGCGCAGCGTGAAAGGCTGAAAAGCCAGGCCCATGAACCAGGCCACACCTGCCAGGTAGCACACTACACTAAAAACCAAAGAGGAGGAGAGAAACATCACATCATCCCCAGCCATGTAGAGCCACACATGTTAGAGATTTCATTTATCATTTATTTTACACTATGAGGTATCCATTAGTTACTAAAATTGCAGAGACTCACCAGAGAGGCGTGTTGAGACGGGTGAGAAGCGTGGTCAGCGCCCTCCTCCGATTGGGGTCTGACAGCAGCCCCATGTCTGAAAACAGCACTCAGTGAAAAAGGGAACTGACGGGGCAAGATACTGTACGCACGATGTTATTCGACAGCTAAACATCAAACATTAAGTGTTTGGAAGAAACTTTGTCTTGCTCACAGTTATACGAGTACACGTTTGATTTTTTCCCCCATAAGAGCAGGAGATGCAAACCGCCGACTATGGGTCATAATGTAAATGGTTAAAGGCTGATCCAGCTTGTTTTCCCAAGATCTATTATGCTCAACTTAAAAAACAGGTACAAGTACAAACTGAACTTTTGAGTAAATACATGCATAAACAATACCTACACATTCTCCATGCATTCTATACGTGTGCATATCGCGCATTCGTGTAAAATATAACATGTATATCTTATTATCGCTATTGTGCATGTATCACGAAAAATAATAAATCTGCAGTGAAAATGAAAGATAACGAAAGTATAGCTTAAAAAGCATTTCATTTTAAGTGTTGAAATTACAAGTTTGGCCCGTTTTAGAATCGTTCCGTTTCAGCAACTGACATTCTCAGTAAGGTTCCAACCTGAAAGTAGATCCTTTGGAGAAAAGCCCCTCAAAGCGGATGACAGCCCTGGTGAAAATGCGTGCAACCGGCGTTCTCACCATTCGATCAACAGCTCCTGCCCAAATTGCAACACACATGCGCAAGGTCTTCGCGCATGCGTACGCTACACTACAATACACAGATGCCGAGCGTGAACGTCAGCTTCACGCATGCGTACACCGCAACACATAACGTCACGTCGGTCTGTACTGCGTATGCGCAAATATTTTACGGCACAGAAAGTAGTGTTGCTACAGCGCGGCTTTTTTATGACCAACGGCTTTGAAGGCTACGCCGGATTTTTCATAGGCTGCAGGATTACGTTTTAATACTAAAAACTAATGGACGTACCTATTCTGGAGCATTCAAAGGAAACAGTATGTCAAATCATAGTTAAAACTGTAGTTAAATATTTGGGAATATACGTATGCTAGAATATTAATGAAAGGGAAAATCTAAGCTTTAAAGAATTGTAGAAAAATGAAACAATTTTAAACAGATGGTTGCAAAGAAGCATATCAGTATTTGGGCGAATTTTGCCAAAATGGAGAGTCTTTCACAGTTAGTTTAAACTACGTAGCCTTTTCTTTACTCATTTATTTCAGCTGGTTGGTAGTATTCGATTTCTTTTCAATTATGATTTTCAGCCTATGAGACTACCTATTAAATTATCTAATTATCATAAACAGGCGTTAATATATTGGAAAATGTTTTTGCATAATTTCACTCCTCACAGTAGTCCTCTTTGCAATAATAGACATTTTATGAAGACTATATTCTTCTATAAGGATTGGATGGAAAGAGATATTTGGTCTATTGTTCATTTAATGAATAATAATGGTGATTTGTGAGACCACAGTCAGTTTGCTCTAAAATGTAAACTTGTCAAAGCCATTCCTGTTTCTTTTGTAAAGACGATTAAAGGAATTTTACAGTAATCGACTTTTATTCCAAGAACTGGCTATTTAAATTGCTTGCTTTAAGAAGTATTCAAAAAATGCCTCCTTATGGAATGAAGTCCTGTTTATCTTTGATGTGTTGTAATCTGTATATTTATTAGTCATTTATGTAGAATCCATTTGGAACTTCTTGTATTTTTGTACTTTTCATTCACTGTCCCCTGGTTTATCTGTACATCAGACAAGGAGGCAGATTAGTTACGTTTTCCTGGTCCACACAGCAGAACGTAAGCGCATTCCTTATTACCTAAACACATTTACATCCACTATGGTTATCTTTTTAGATGTCCCAGTGAAGTGGAACAGCTTGACCTGACTGTAGGGCTATAAATGTGTGTTACATTGGAGCAGCAGGCCTCTGGGATCCTCATTTATAGTGTTTTCGTTAGTTGTTTTTGGTATATTTTCATATACATGTGAAAAAAAATGAGAACCCCACAAAAATTTTTGGTTTCAACCAATGGAAGGGCCGCCCGGAAAAAAAAGGAAAATTTTTTTTGCAAACTGCAGCCTGGTTCTTCCCTGCTTCTCATTAATGAAGGGCTTCTTCCTTCCTTTATGTGACTTCAGTCCTGCTTCTAGGAGCCTGACATGAACTGTCCTAGCAGTGCACTTCACACCTGCACTTCACGTTTCCCATTCCTTGTGTTCACTTGATGTCATCCTCCGATTCGTGAGAAACTGTCAGATAAGTCATGGCTGGCATTAGAGTCGCTTACACCCTGTACCTGGCTGGTTTCTCCATGCCTCTATGGACAAAGTGCTTTTTACAGTTGTTACAAACAACTTTACACATTTAAAATTTTATTACTAGGTTGTTAACATATTGGTTTATTTGATTTTTATATGGACCACAAGTTTAGCATGAGTTTAATTAATAACTGTGCCCTATTCCAAAACAAACTGCAAGTGAGTTACTTTTTCTTAACCAGCACTGTGATCCAACAAGCGACAAAGCAGAGTCAGCCAGTCCCTTGAGCAGTTGCAGTTAAGGGCCTTGGTCAAGGGTCCAACAGTAAAATCTTTCTGCTGACCCCGGGATTTGAGCTGAGGACCTTTTGATCACAGAAGCAGGGTCCCAACGTGCAGAGCCACGTGGACATTGTGGATTGCCTTAATTTTCTGCTTTCAGGTGTAATGTTTTATGTTAATATTTAATAATGAATGCACTTGGGTCGTGTAACATAACTGTTTTTCCAAAACGCATCTCTGACTCATGTGTTTGGGCGACTATGACAGTCGTCAGGGACGCCTCTGGATGTTGTCTAGCAGAACCACATCAGTCATGTTAAACGGGCCACAAACCACAGGTGCCACATTTAGTCATAGCAGCTTCACAAAATCTGTTTTATATAAAGCAACCTATAACGTATATTTCTGAGTCCCAAATTTAGTCTTAAGGTACATGGATGAAGATTGTGACTGCGGTTTTGGTACTTGGCTATAAGCCAATAGAAATGTACGTCGGTCTTTGTAATCAGAGAACATGCTGAACACCAACAGGGGTCCTCACACAGGAAGTCTACAGCTAGAGAAGCCGAAACGCCCTCCTCTGTGCGTACCACATATAATAAGCTGTTAAACAGTTTTCTTTATACATCAGTCAATCCATTCCTTCACAGTCAAATTCAACAATCCTTTTTCAGTTCCATGGGCTCTGATACTCTGAACCCTGCGCCGCTCACTCCGCCGTCAGGACGGACACCTCCTGCAGGTGCTGTCGAACAACCCCGTCCAGCACTTGGCCCAAGCTGCGGCAGGCTGTCATGGCGGCCTCCATCAGAGCATCCAGGTGGTCCTGGTGCAGTCGGGCGTCCATTTGCACCAGGGCGACCTGCCCGCCACGCGGTAACAGCGCCAGTGACATGACGGTGCCGCCGCCGCTCTCCTCTGCGTGGCAGAGGTCCACTACTGCCGTGTTCTCCACGAAGCCGGCGCTGCAGGCGCACACGTAGTCGCGCATGGGGATGCCAGCGTCGATCACCGCCAGGGTGGCTGCGTTCACACACGCGCTGTAGTTTCCACCATCCGACTGCAGGATCTGAAGCGCAGCAAATGAGAGATTCTTCAGGATGACACTTCAACCGCAAACTGAATCTCTTACTCGTACAAGGGACGATTCACTTCCGGACAAATGATTTTGATTAATAAAATTCAGTGCCCACAATCTACAGGCAAGAAACTCCAGCTCCACAAAGCAAAATCTTACATAAACATAGTTACACTCTATTTTTTAATTGATTAGTCATTTTGCTATGATTGTTGTAGTTAAGCGTAACACACTTGCTTCACCTGCTAATTTATTATTTACTTTAAAAAGGTTAAACAGGGTGAAAGACACCCGTCTGTGACCTTTCTGAAAACCCGTGACTGTTGTCTATTATTACCCTGCTCAATCTCAACTGTTCCAGTAAAATATATAGCAATATAAATGCATAATATGTAGGTTACCTAAGAAGCTAATAATTTGTCACCTTTTTAACTTTGCACATATAAGATTCCGGCACCTTTACTTCATACACCTGTTACTAGGGCTGTGCGATATGACGATTTAAATCGGACGATGAAATTAAAATGTCTATCGTTTCATATTATACTCTACCGTTTATTCCGCAAAATACGCTGTTCACGGCAACATTTGTTCATCATTTGGATGACAGTTTTGCAAGGTTACACGCCACCACATGGGATGTGGCACTTGTATGGAAGTTTTTAATGGACTTTATTATTTGTAACCCACAGAAGAGTCGACAAATATGTACTGACTGCTATGTATAGGCCTATATGAAAGTTACATAGTGTACAGTGTCCCCCATAGTTTAATACTTAAAGCACACTTAAGACATGTCTGTATCTTTTAGGTTTATACTTATTAGTCCATTAATTCTATGTTTTGTACTTTAAACAGACACAGTACAGTTACTAATAATAATGGAAAAGTACATTGCGAAGGAACGCAAAACTATTGCGAGGGAACTAACAACTTTCCCACCCAGACCACAGTTAATCTTTAGAAATAAAAAATCATATCCACAAAAATATGGAGGGATTTGTACACCTGAAAAGGGTTTTGCATATTTGTCGATCACTTCCCATTTATTTTTGGATCACGTGACATTTATGACCTTGTTCCTTTTTATTTGCGGATGTTTGTCCAGTTTCTACTGCTGCTGATCTGTAGAAGAAAATCCATAAATATGAGGTGCAGCCTTGATATATTTTGTTATCGAGATATAAGATGACATATCAGGATATAAGATTTTGGTCATGTAACACAGCCATACTTGTTACTGCACTTTACCTGCCACTAATCCCATTCCATAGTTTTGCATATCTGTATTGGTCTGTGCTCGTGTTGGGCACCATCTGTATTGTTCTGTGCTCGTGTATTTGTTTTACACCAGAGGTCTCCAACTCCAGTCCTGAAGAGCTCCTATCTAGCAGGTTGTCTATTCTACCTGGCTTCCGATGAGCCACACCTGTTCCTGGTATACCTGAGTAGGATAGAAAACCTACTGCATAGTAGCTCTCCAAGGCCGGGAGTTGTAGACCCCTGTTTTACATCTGCATTGTTTTGCATTGTCTTGTTTAGTCTTTTGTAACCGAATGAGCCTGAAAGAGCACCTGTGGCACAAAGCCAATAAAGAATCATAAATCATATTTTTGTAGTTGTGTAGCTTTTTTTTTCTATACACTGAATTTGAGATTTGGATATAAACGCCGAAAACGGCACCTTGACGAAGATGTCGATCTGTGAGCGCGGGTAGAGGGAGGTCAGCACGGCCGCCTCGAAGGTCTGCTTGAGGTGCAGGCTCATCTCGCTGGACTTGCGGTCCCCGTGCGGCCGGCGCTTCCTCTCCGCCGTGCTGAAGGTGGCCATGCTATACTGGCAGTTAATGACGGCGCGGTCATGGAGCGCCTTGCTGCGGGAGCCGCGCACCTGCGGGACACGTACAGGCAGGCGTCACACTCGCTAGCTACTCTTACCGACATCAACTCTGGATTTTAAAAGGCACCATTTGTACAGCAAGCATCCGAACAATTATACGTATAGTGAAAATGTCCAATACATTGAAAATAACTGCACTCAAAGTAACTGGCAGTTCTAATGCTCTTTTTAATGCTCTTTTGCACATTACACGTAAAAGTATTTATTTTCCGGAATTTTTGTGTGGGCAGCAAAGTAAGAATTTCATTGCACAGAGAAATGCACTTTTCTACTGTACATATGGCAAAAAACGCTTTGAATTTTTGAATCTTGAATCTAATGCTATTTTCTGATTGGCTGGTAGGTGGCTATTAACTCAGTATAAGTCGGGAGACTTATGAACTGGGCGGAAACCCCCCCTCCGTATGCCTGAATTCTGTATAACGGGGCATCATGGAGGGCGTGATGCCTGAAAATGGTTGAAATGCGTGACTGACGGTCAGTGCGTGAGACTTGAGAGCCTTGATTATAAGTCAGTAGGCCTACTTTATGCTGTGTATTATGCTCCGTTTCAATAACCAGACATGTACGTACTTTCCCTTTTTTGGTCACGTTTAAAGTTTTAGAAAAGGGTGTGGAATCTCATTTGTTCTGTCATTGCCAACTATATTAAGTCTCCTCTAATGGCAATGGATAATATGCCATTTTTGTGCCTTTTCATGTTAATATAATGATTCAAGCGGAAACAGCAGCGAGACTATACAATATATGACAATATATTCTGGATAAAATTAATTAATCGTTGTTGCTAAACATTTTATCTGTGGATAATCGCTCGTTGTCTTTTAGAAACTTACCCTATCCAAGTAGAACAAGCGGTTATCCTTTTTGTTTAGCTACGAACCATCGGTAATACGGAAATTAAAACATCTATAAAACTGCAAACAGAGCCCCCCTCAGCAGGAGCAAAAGCACATCTGCCAACAGCCCTCACCTCATGGGGGCCGTACACCACCGCTAACGCCTTGGTATTTCCTTGCTCAATGTACGCTGACCCGTCGGCTTGGGTAAACACTCCCATACGAGCCTGCACCTTCCGCAGTTCCGATGGTTTTCTACCATCTAACCGGTATCCCTGATCCGACAGCAACTCTAGACCAGCCATGTTGTTATCACATGTGCGCGCTCGATATTACCCACAATGCTTTATGATACTTAACGGCAATACTTCCGGTCCCCCCCCCCCCCACCACAAATAGCAAAGTGTAGCTTTTGTATTACTTATTTATTAAGTGGGGTCTTGAACAGTAATGACCTATAAAATCACTCCGAATACTAACTAAACTGGATTTCACATGAAAATTGAAAATATAATAGAATATAAAACTCATATATGATATAGAAATAATATAAAAACTAAATTTAAAAATTTAAACTATAAATAATACTGACGCTCGCAATCATACTGGTTCAGACTTTATGCGGCACGACCGTGCCGCAGTGCCATCACTTTTCCATCTGCACCTCCTGCCTGATTTGCAGCTTGCCCAGATTTTTTAAACTGTGAAGCTTTTGTGACATAAAAAGAATTCACTGCTGACTTCTAACAACTTACTATCGGATTTTGCAGGTGACACACCCTTTAAACTCAAGTCTATTGATAGCTGCAATAATTTTTAAGGATAATACATGTCCCAATTAATTGCTCAGGACTGCTGGCCACGTGTATAATTCTCCATCAGCTAAATATTGTTGGGCCACTGAATTTGGAAATACTAACTAGAGATCAATTTGGACTTATTATAGGGTTATTATAGGTCTATTTTACAGCAAAACAGGTTTTCTAGAGATTTAGCAATGATGATGCAGAATGTACAGTTGCTTTTCATGTAATACATCTCCCATATTTTCTGTGATGTGTCTGTGAAGTTATTTTGGTTAGATGCTAAATATTGAATACATCATCTGTTGATAAAGTTCAACTGAATAAACAGGATATATTTTATTATGCAAGAAGTGATTCTGACAGTGAAAGAAAATTTATGTTGACTCCCTTTATTTTGTACAGGAAATATTCATAATATTAATCCCGACCTTGTCCTGTATTGTCTGTTTTTGGCCAGCAGATGTCGCTGGCCATCCCATTCCTTCCTCCGTTTTGTAGTTCCTTTATGATGCTGTGTTCCATTCACCTTCAAGGTTGGAAGTCGGAGCTAGGAATGATGTCACACCCGAGTTAACCAGTACAGCAAGTCAAAATGCCATTTAGCAATAGCAGGGACCTGTTTCAAAAAGCAAACTCGTTGGATTGAATTTACAGTTTAAATGATCTTTATCTTCATTCATTTTACATTTAGCCCCGACTACCTTAAATCCGACAAGTTATCCGGCTATGCAGGAAATCCTGCTTTTTGAAAAAGGCCCCAGTTCTCGCCCGGTTAATTGTTAGCCATTGTTAGCAATATCAGTTGATAACAACACATTATATGGTATTTTGCATATAAAAACATTGCAGCAACACATCCACAATAGCGGCTGGACAGTACTGTGTGTACAACCGATGTAATGAGCCACAAATAAGATGTAAGCACTAATAAAACAGTATAAAACTACAGCTTTAACTTCTTTTGATAAAGGATGTAGTCATCTTAAATTCTAAGGTTGGGATTCTGCAGAATCCCCTGACTTTTTTAGTAGGAATTCCACAAGTCTTAGTGCATTTTTAGTGCAAACGTACATAGTGTACAGCAAGGAGCAGAGTTAATCTACATTGAGAAGCCTGTGTCAGCCTGGGGGAAAAAGCTCTTCCTGAGTCTCTCAGTCCTGGACATCAGGCAATGGAACAGGTAGTTTGTGGGGTATAAGGAGTCCTTAATAATCTTGGTACCTCTTGACTTGCAGCGTTTATTGTAGGTGTCCAGCAGGGAGGGCAGAGGAGATCTGACACAACGCTCGGCCGCCCTGATCACCCTCTACAGGGCTTTGCGGTCCTTTAGAGAACAGTTCCCAAGCCATACTGTAATGTTCATAGTCAGGATGCTCTCCACAGCAGCTGAGTAGAAGGTTTTTAGGATCGCTGGAGTGACCCTAAATCTCCTCAGCTGCCTCAGGTGGTATAACCGCTTCCTTGCTCTGGTGACCAGAGTGCTGACATGAGAGTGCCAAGTGAGGACCTCAGTGAGCAGAACCCCAAGGTACTTGATGTTATCCACCCTCTCCACTGGAACACTGTTGATCTGGAGGAGTGAGAAGGAGCGCTGCTTCTTCTTGCTGTAGTCCACTATCAGCTCTTTAGTTTTTCTGACATTCAGACTGAGGCAGTTGGACCTACACCATACCAACAGATTCTCCACCTCCCTCAAGTAGGCTGACTCATCATTGTTGGTGATGAGTCCAATTACCACTGTGACATCCGCGAACTTCACAATGGTGTTGGAGCTGTTGGAGGCGACGCAGTCGTAGGTGTAGAGCGTGTAGAGCAGGGGGCTCAGAACACACCCTTGAGGAGCTCCAGTGCTGAGAGTGATGGTGTTTGACACACGGGATCCCACTCTCAATGTTTGTGGTCTACCAGTGAGGAAATCTAACACCCACCTGCACAGCTGGGAGTTCAGACCCAGGTCCCCCAGTTTGGTGAACAGTCTAGATGGGATGATGGTGTTGAAGGTTGAGCTGTAGTCCACAAACAGTAGCCTTACATAATTCCCATTTCTACTGTCCACATGTGTGAGGATGGTGTGCAGTACGTGTGCGATGGCGTCCTCAGTGGATCTGTTAGGGCGGTAGGCAAACTGTAATGGGTCTATGGAATTGGGGATGGATGAACAGATTAAGTTCTTAACCAGCCTTTCAAACACCTTCATGACCAGAGATGTTAGGGCTACCGGGCGGTAGTCATTCAGGCCGGAGGGCTTGTTGTGCTTCAGGACGGGAACTATGGTGGACCGTTTAAAGCACGTTGGCAAAACAAACAGAGCTAGAGACTCATTGAAGATAGTAGTGAAAACACCAGTCAGCTGATCAGCGCAGCATCGCAGAACCCTAAGGCCACATTCAAAGACGGAGCACATGCTGTGACAAGGCTGTCCCATTTCGAAGGGTCCATCAAATGAAGAAATATGTCCTTCTTTTCCAGGGTGGATCCTTTGTGGCCCAACTGATCCCAAGAGCAGATTTTTAGAAGGACACAGCCTACGAAGGCTATGCTTTGAAGGATGCAGCCCCTAAATTGGGATGCAGCTGTAATATCTGGTTGTGTACACGCATTGCCAATTTAGGGTCATTTCTGGATGGGAATGGGGTCTATTAAGTGCACACACCTACTAATGTTTCTACAATAATGTTTATACGAAACTGTATAACCTGTACAGTGTGTATCTCGGTATGTGCGAGGTTTTATGAATCAGATTTTTACTGTTTGTACGAACACAAAATTTTGTTATGTACATTTTCTTCCTCCACAAGAAAGTACAAACATGTTTTATAAATGAGCTCCATATATCATACCAAAGATTGTATGTAAACACATTGGGGCATCTCTGATCAGACTAAAATCAAATATGGCCAACAAATTCGAATATTGTCTGAGGAAGTACGAAAATACAGCATTGATGTGATTTCTCGCTACTGGATTATAAAGTCTCTCCGATGGTTGAAAACTAAAATGAAATTAACTTCTGGCCAAAACAAATAGGGCCAAAGCTTAATGTCATGCAATTAGGTTTTGGCCCATTTTTTTGCCCAGAATTGGATATTGTAACTGCGATGCCATAAACCTGTATACTGTATTTCCTTGCATTCAGTATTCTTAGTACATAATGCCATACTTAATAAACTAGCAGCTCTGCTCTATAATGCTACCCCCGGCCTGGTGTCAAGGTACATTGTTGCCTGGTGTATTGGCACAAGAAATAAAGATTCAAACCTGATTAGATTGTTGTTGCTGCATAATGTAAGGACCCCCCAGGGGCATCAGAGGGGCATGGGTAACCTGACAGATTCAGGGGGCTCAGCACTTTACTGGGGCCCTTAAATATGTAAAATTGTAAAACTATGTAATGTAAGGGGGAACGTAGTATTTAAAATGTATTGAGATGCAGAGGTTTACATATCTAGAACAAATACCCTAAAAATGCCATCTCCCCATGAAAGTATTAAATTGTTGTTAATTATTGATAATACTTTTACAGTGGAGCTTGACCAGGCGCTCTGATGTTTTCAGTTAGTACAGCCTAACCTGCTGCTTTGAGCATGTTAGCGGTGGTGCCATGCTTTCGGGAGGGGTCTCCCAGCAGCGCGCGCTGGTGGCGCCGGTGGTTGTTATGGAAACGCGGCAGGAAGCGGAAAGGACTCTACAGGCTGGTGATACTTCGCTTTACAACGAGTTTATGTGCTTAAGTAATTAAAAGATATCAGCACCTCTCGTGGGTGGGTTAAACGAGGAACGCAATAAATTAATCCGTGGATAGATAGCAAAGCTAGCCGACTGTAACCGAATAGCAAGATGCAGCGGAATTCATTTATATAGCCGGATAAACTGGTAAGATGTGCAAAGCAGCTATAGTTGACTGATAACGTTTCATTTCTGATTGTTGTAATTTAGCGTCACATATCTGTCTTTTCAGAATAATATGTAGCTAGTGTTACTGTGTGAGCCAAGTGCTATTTCAAAATATTTGCAGTTAAATAGTCTGTCAGCCATGCAGCTCGGTTTCTCTATGACGGGAACAGTTTGACGGCTCTCTGCTTTTCGTTTAATTCTAGGTGTACGTAAGGGTCACCGTGGATTTACTTTGCATTTTCAGAGATACTGACTTTTATTTTACAAGTGGAACTGGATTTGCGTCGACACAGAAATGAATTAGAATGCCTTTTAGAATGAATTAGTGCTCTAAACCTACGCCTATTTAATTTACCGTTCTGCGATGTCCTACAATTTCGCATGTTTTTACAGGCAAGCAAACTTGAACAAGTCCGGAGTGACAGGAAGACAGCCGATGCGTGTACAGCGGCCCCATGCTGCAGGCCGGCGCAGTGCAGCTCCTGTGCCTCACGGCGAGCAGCGGCGTGCCGCTCTTCTGCCGCGGCGCGTCCAAGCAACTTCCCTTCTCAGTCATCGGCTCCCTGAACGGGGTACATATGTTTGCTGGGGGCCAGGGCGTCCAGCTCTTTAACTGTGACACGGACCGGGGTGGCCGAGTGCTATGGAAAGTTTTCCACGACAGCGTGATGCTGATCGCTGTCACTGGGCAGCGCAGCGATGCCTGCGGCAACCTGCAGCTGCGCCGCCTGCTGGATAACGTGTGGAACTGCATGGTGCTCGTGCTGGGGCTGGAGGAGCTTACTAACGTGCGTAACGTGGAGCGCCTGAAGCGGGAACTGCGCTCCTGCTACCAGCTCATCGACACTTTCCTTGACATCGGCAAAGACTGGATGGGGGACCTGACGCACTGCGTCGAGTGTCTGCTGCCCGCACAGCCTGCAGTGCTGCAGGACACCCTGAATGCCTTTGCCCAAGCCGCAGAGAGTGACTTTGGCTGCTTGCTGGTCCATGGCAAGATGGTGGTGGCTACTGATAAGTGGTGGCGCCTCGCGCCTCAGGAGGTGGTGCTGTTGGCAGCTCTGGTGCGGACGCTGGGTGGGTCAGCATGCTGTGACTGCCCCATCTTCCTGCCTCAGGGCAGCCCCACGGTGCCCCACCGCCTGCTGCGCTTCCAGCTGCTTCCAGGAGTGAACGTGTGCATGCTGTGCGGACCCACGCCGACGCTGCAGAGCGTGGAGGGGGAGCTGGTGGTGCGTTTCTGGCGCCCCCTGGTGGACATGCTCCACGGTTGCCAGGCCCTGCACCAGCGCTGCTTCCCCGGCTCAGTGGGCCTCCACAGGGATGTGCTGGCCCTGTTGCTCATTAACCGGGAGTCCAGTCGGGCCGTGTCTTCTGTCCACCCTGCCCCCTCTGCTCCGGGTGCCCCCTCCCCCATACGCCGCTGGGAGCTGCTGCGCCTCCTCTTCACATTTGCCACCACCCGCTATTTCAGCCAGACGGAGGCGCCGCAGAAGGGGGAGCAGCTTCCCCCCCCGGAGGAGTTTGCTCCTGGCTTCTCTGATCAGCCCCAGCAGTGTTACCTGGTGACTGACGAGTGCAAATTCTTCGCTCTGCAGACCCCACAGCACCAGCTCTACATCCTGACAGCCGTTTCCGTGCCGACCTTTGCCCTCCGACCCCTGGCCACGCGCACACTCTCTACACTTACTGACTCCACTGGTTTCTAAAGAGCACTGTTGTGGCCATTAAAGATACACTTAAAACATGATGCTTGAATGTTCATCTAAAGTTTACATGGAAGTCTGTTAAAACATGTAGCAAAATAAAATGGGAAAAATTCATATTCTTATGTAATATCAGCATTTCTGCATTTAAAGAAATTAAGCAAAGGTCAGAGATCAAGAGATCAAGCACAATCTTTCATGTCATTACACTGGAAAGCGGATAGTGTGGGGCCCAGGGGGCTATCTCTTTGCCTATGACCAGAAGGTTGCTGGTTTGAGCCCCCATTACAAAACAACAACTTTAAATTTGCAAATATCATGACATAGTTGAAATAATTGTTCCTTCCAGTCCTCAGTAAGTGTGGAGTTGTCGGCTCTGTCTTGTTTCAAATAACATGCGACAAGGCTGCACCCATTATCGTTTATTATTCACACCATTTTATTTTGTTTGAGTAAGGGGAGAGTCTAATAATTCCAGGAAACTGGTCAAGGTTTAATGACCGCAATGGCGATTATGAATTTATGATTTAATTGTCCGGTAATAAAATGGAGTACTATCTTACTGTTTTAGTATGTAAAAAATTTCCTAGCCATAGTAACAAGAAACATTTTAGTGTTTTTGGTTTGTCTTTCTCATTATACAAATACCTCAATCATTGTCATTACTGTGGCTTGGTAGTGATACATAAATATTTATTGCATATAATATGCTTCATATACAATAGCTTACTGTATTTAAACATTTACTTTCTTACAAATGAGAATTGGTGACATATAGTTAAAACTATTACTGGACAAAATAGTCAAGGTTATATTACAGTTTTTCTCAGTTGCTTTGGTGCATTTCTCACAACAGAATTAAACTTTGCACAACAGTTAGTTCAACCTCCACAACATGTAGTCGTTTTGGCACAACCTAGTAGCGGTTTCATGTTCATTTCGTCAAATGCCTTTGGACATGAAGCAGTTGAGTAAGTACAAATATCTAAAGAATGGTCACTTTTGACTTGCTATTCATCACTATCTCCTTGCTTTTATCATGAATGTCACAATTATTTATACTTGTACCGGCTGAATAGTCATTGTCCTTACAACTAATAGTCTTCATTTCATTGCTTGTGTCATTGCACTCAAAATTGTTGAACATCTTGTCAAACAATTTGTACACCCATATTCCTCGTATTGGTGCATACAATACACAACACCTGTTGGC